AAGTGAAACAATGTTGCGGTCCTGCTGGCTGAAGCCCGGCTGGCTGAAATCAGATTTCTGGGGTTTTGTTTAGCTTCTATATTTGTAACAATGTTTCTTAAACTGCAATCTCAGAGGCTAGCAAGGCAGGCGGGAAATGTTGGCTTCCTCCGTCACTGAAGCAAGCAAGCCTCCTTCAAGCTGACTGGCTGCCGGCCGCCATTTTGGATGGCAGTTAATTTGAATATTTCCCTGATTAGCCAATGGGAAGGGTAGCGGTCATATGCTAATTACCATGTTTCTCTTTTGTTAGATAGGATACTAGAGGCCAGGTGCATGAAGGCTGATGGGGGTTGGAGCGTCTTCCCCCTGGTGGTCAGTGCACATCATAGCAAATAGTGTAATGGTCAAATGGTTGAATGAATGATTGGACACTTAGCATATTACATATAGGATTATTTTTTATTTTTATTTTTTTAAAATATATTTATGAGAGAGAGACATCGATCAGCTGCCCCCCGCACATCCCCCACGGGGGATGTGCCCGCAACCCAGGCACATGCCCCCGACCAGAATCGAACCTGGGACCCCTCTGTCCACAGGCCGACGCTCTATCCACTGAGCCAAACCGGTTTCGGCATACATAGGATTATTTTGATGTGAGATAATATAACTATGGAATTTAGACTTGGGTGTTTATTCTTCAGTTAGCTTTGGATATGTAATTAAGAACATAACAGACATGGTATTTGTTCTAATAAGATTTACTTAGGGAGACATATAAAACATTTAATTACAAGTTGGGATAAGTGCTATGAAAGAAATGAAAATGATGCAATAGAAGAAAATAATAGGGCCTAATGTAGATTTGGCAATCAGGGATGGTCTTTAGTTGAAACCTAAAAAATAAGTGAGAGGTAGGACATGTGAGTTGAAGAGAGCTTTTCTTTCTTTTTTTGTTAATCCTCAATGGAGGATACTTTTTTTCATTGATTTTTAGAGAGAGTGGAAGGTAGAGGAGAGACAGAAACATCGAGGTGAGAGAGACACATCAATTGTTTGCCTCCTGTAGGCACCCTGACCAGGGTAACCTGCAACCAAGGTATGTGCCCTTGACCAGAATCAAACTCTTCAGTCCACAGGCCAGTGCTCTATCGACTGAGCCAAACTGGTTAGGGCTGGAGAGAGTGTTTCAGTCAGAAGTAAAAGCATGTAGAAATGCTCTTAAGTATAAAGGAGCTTTGTTAATTCAAGTGATGGAGTGAAAGCCTGTGTGATTGAGCATAACAAGTGACATGGAACAGGGAACGAAATGAGTTTGGGGTGATAAGGACCAAATCAGGGCCAAGGAAAGGAAATTTGATTTTATGCTAACAGTGAAGGAAAATCATTGTAAAATTTAAGTAGAGGAATGACATGATATGATTCAAAATCACTAACTTCTGTATGGCAGATAAATTTGGTGGTGGGTGGGGAGTGCTGGTAGTGAAGAAAAAGTAGAATTGAAGAAATAGGATTGGAGACTATTTGAGTGGTACAGATATGAGAGGGTATCTTTTAAAAATGGAATCAGCCCTAACCGGTTTGGCTCAGTGGATAGAGCATCGGCCTGCGGACTGAAAGGTCCCAGGTTTGATTCCCGTCAAGGGCATGTACCTTGGTTGCGGGCACATCCCCAGTAGGGGGTGTGCAGGAGGCTGCTGATTGATGTTTCTCTCTCATTGATGTTTCTAACTCTCTATCCTTCTCCCTTCCTCTCTGTAAAAAATCAATAAAATATATTAAAAAAATAAAAATGGAATCATATCACAATTATGTTAGCAGTTGGAGATCCCATTAATCTTAGGACTTTTTGTCTGGTCTCAGCTCTGAAAAATTTTCTTCTTTTATATCTTCTCTACTAGTGTCATTGTTCTCTTACTCCCTGTAAGTGGATTTTGGGAGTTCTGGAACTATCCCTTCATGTTTAAAATTTTTTTCTTACACTTTCTATCTTTTAGTTCTTTGTTGAATTTTTGGGGAAAAGGTTTTGGGTTTCCCCTGCTAATTCAATCTTTATGTTTATTTTGCTAGTATTGAAACCTTAGTTGTCAAATTTTAAACTCCCAAGAACTGTAAATAATTTACTTCATGGATATAATATGCTATTGGAACATACTAATGTTACCATACTTAGCAAAATATCTGCTTCTATTTGTTCTATTAACGCTTTCTCCTTGGATTTTATTTAATTCTCTTAATTGAATTTGGTTCTTCTTTTTCATGGTTTTGCTTTTCTTCATTAATTGTTGATTCTTAATTGTGTGCTCATCCAAGTATTTGAGAATTCATCTTCACCCACTTGTATGTTATAATCTGCTTCATCTGATTATGGGAATGAAATGGGAGATGGTATAAGGAAGGGTAGGCTTGGTAGCTTGTCTGTTTGGCATAGGCTCTATGCCATAGGAGACGTTTTTCTTGCTTAAAGATCAAGAGCTATGGCACCACCATGTCTCTTTGGCCCCAATTCCTAGAATCCTTGATTTAACCTGAGGCTGTGTGGTGGAAGATGTGGTCAGCTGGTGTAGTTGTTTAACATAGACTTCATTGAATGAGTATGGGTTTTACCCCCCACAAAGAATCCTTAACTTTTGGGTTAATGGTAATGAGTCTGTTTTTGTTTTTTTTTGTAAATATATTTTATTGATGATTTTTTACAGAGAGGAGGGAGAGGGATAGAGACTTAGAAACATTGATGAGAGAGAAACATCAATCAGCTGCCTCCTGCACACCCCCCACTGGGAATGTGCCCGCAACCAAGGCACATGCCCCTGACTGGAATCGAACCCAGGACCCTTCAGTCCGCAGGCCGGCGCTCTATCCACTCAGCCAAACTGGTCAGGGCGAGTCTGGTTTTATATATAGTCTTTCTAAAACAATTATGTGATTGGGGGTGAGAGTGTGGAGACATGCTAGTTTTTTTTAATATTTATTTTTAAAATTGATTTCAGAGAGGAAGGGAGAGAGATAGGAACATCAATGATGAGAGAGAATTATTGATTGGTTGCCTCCTGCATGCCCCCTACAAGGGGGGATTGAGGCCACAACCTGGGCATATGCCCTTGGCCCGGAATTGAACCTGGGATCCTTTAGTCCACAGGCCAAGGCTCTATCCACTGAGCCAAACCAACTAGCGCGAAACATGTTAGTTTTAAAAAATTAATGGCTTTCACTTAAAATTAAACTTCATGGTTGAATAAGCTTTGCATGTGACAGGTTTTTATTTTAGACTCTACATTGGCATTTCATATTTTGTTGATTTTTTTCCTTAAAGACTGTGGTCAATGATTACAAGTATTTTGTTTTGAATAATATATAGTTACATCTACAACAATTAATAACCCTCAACAGTGAGGAAAGACAAGTTTCAGGTATAATAAAATTTAGGTGACAGTTAGACATTGTTTGGGAACTTTGTAGGTAGTTAAAAAATGTAAGGAGGGAAAAACCCAGGTGGTGTGGGCTGGAAAGATTTTATAATTCATTATCCTGATATTGAATTCATGGAGGTATATAAAGAAAAACATTGTAAAGCATTATTTAATGTGACAAGAAGGAAGGGTGTCAGAAAGAAAATAGGAGCAGGAGTTAGGAAACAAATCTGAATAATGCAAGGTCTGGAAAATCAAAGCGAGAAAAGTAGAGTGGTTAATAGTATCAAATGCCAGAAAGCTCTATAATAATGACAAAGAATTACATCACAAAATGGTTATTGGTGATCTTTGAGATATTAGTTCTGCATGGAGTTAAAAAAGAAGTTTGTAGGAAACCAAAAAGGAATTTGTCTGCCAACCCCTCTCCCCCCTCAGAGATTGACTATAGTATGAAGAGGCAGAAAAGTCAACCAGATGCTTTGTTTTTTTGTTTTTTTAAAATATATATATATATTATTGATTTCTTACAGAGAGGAAGGGAGAGGGACAGAGAGTCAGAAACATCCATGAGAGTATTCAAATAAATATTTAGCTGTGATAAGGGAAAGTAAAGATTCCTCTACAGAGAGTCAATTTATATTGTTAGTAAAGAAACTAAAGTCTCAGAGGAGGTTGGAAGGTTGAGACACAGAGTATAATGGTTAGAGTTAGCTGGAATTAAGTGGGTCACTTCTTTTAAGTTTGGAGTGAAGATTAGGAGACCAGATATTTAGAGAGGGATGATGAGTTGAAAGTAAAAGCACACATGCTGAATGACCACATTCCAAATACAGATAGATTGCTTATTTTGTTTAATCAACTCTGGGCTCATTTGGTTGTGGAATTAACTTTATAGCAGTGGTTCTCAACCTTGGCTGCACATTAGAATCACCTGGGAATCCTTTTAAAATACTGATTTCTGGGCCTCATCCTTTGGAAATTCTGTTTCTTTGTTACTGATGTTGTGGCCCACCCCTTAACAAAGAAACAGAATTTCCGGAGGATGAGGCCCACAAATCGGGATTTTAAAAAGATTCCCAAGTGATCCTAATGTGCAGCCACGGTTGAGAGCCACTGCTTTATAGACACATCCTATGTAATAAAAGGCTGATATGCAAATTTTCCCTTTGACGGGGAGTTGGACTAGAGTTCGACCAGGGGGTCGGGCCAGCCTGCCAACTGCCTGCAGCCCCTCCCCCCAGCCAATTGGGGCTAGGGCTGCTAGCCAACTGCCCCCAGTCTCCCTATCACCCCAATTGGAGTGGGCCGGCTGGACCCCCCCACATGTACGAATTCATGCCCCGGGCCTCTAGTTATTAATATTTATCTTTGATTTTTGTATAGTTCCATTTGGACTTCTGGGCAGTGATTTTCAACTTTTTTCATCTCATGGCACACATAAACTAATTACTAAAATTCTGCAGCATACCAAAAATAATTTGCCAATATGACGAAAAATAGGTATAATTTTGATTCATTCACAGTGGATGGCCATTGTTGTATTGGTTGTTGTCATTTTTTATTTGACAATATAAGGGAAAAGAGGTCAGTGCCCCTGACTAAATAGTCAGGTATTGCATGTTTAAAAACTTTTTGCAGCGCACTGCTTGAAAATTGGTGATTTAGGGTACTCCAGTTACATTAATCCATTTCTTAGTCTTCCCCTTTCAAATGATATTATTCTTGTTTCTCCCTAGTCTTTTAATCCAGCTTTTAACACATTTATATTCTTTTGCTTACTTTAGAAGAGATGACTAAGCTTAACAATAACAAAGAAGTAGAACTTGAAGAATTGAAAAAAGTCTTGGTAAGTATTTAGTTTCTCTTAATATAGAGTAATTACTTTTCAAATCCACTGACTTAGACTCTCACACTATAGATGTTTTATGCTACCTTTTTTCAGATAAAATATTAAAAAACTACATTTGATTTTTAGTAAAGCCACGTTCTTACCTATTCTAATATTTATACATCTTGATAGCTGTCTTCATGTCTTTAGAGGGTTTTAAACAATTTTTTAATTTATTGATTGACAAGAGAGAGAGAGAGAGAGAGAGAGAGAGACAGACAGACAGACTTGTTGTTCCACTTATTTATGTATTCCTTGGTTGATTTTTATGTGTGCCCTAGCCCGGAATGGAACCATGATCTCCTGGTCAATGAGTTGATGCTTAACCTCTGAGCCACATTGGACAGACTGTTGAACATTTTTGTTTTTGTGTTAACAAGAGCTATTTGCCTGTAGTTTTCTTTTCTTTGATTGTCTTTGTCTGCTTTTGGAATCAGGCTAATGCTGGCCTCATAAAATGAGTTGGTAAGCTTTTCTTTCATTTCTATTTTCTAAAGAGATTGTGTAGAATTAGTGTTATTTTTTCTTTATACATTTGGTAGAATTCTCCTGTGAAATCATCTGGACATAGAAATTCTTTCATTGTTATAGAACTACTCTGGTTACTTGCTTTATCTTGGGTGGTTTTTGTAGTTTGTTGTTTTTGAGGAATTAATACATTTCACTGAAGTTGTCAGATTTCTGTGCATAGAGTTATTTATAATATTCCCCGTTATCCTTTTAGTAAATTTTTATGCTTTGTGAGCCATGTGGTCTCTGTTGAGGTGATTCAACTTTGCTGTTAATAGGGCAAAACAGGCATGGATAATACATAAACAAATAGATTGGCTCTATTACAGTAATAATGCCTTATTAAAAATAGGCAGTGGTGGATTTGGTCTGTGGGCTGTGTTTGCTGACCCTTGGTTGTCTAGAAGGATGAATTCAATTCTTGGTACATTACTTAACACACTGCGCACCAGTAGTGTTATCGCCGGCTTTACCTAGTGGCCAGATATGTTTCTATTGAAAGAGTACAAAAAACATTTTACCGAGTATCAGACGTTAAAAAGAAATTAGCTTGTAAGAACATGTAATAAATAACTTCAGAATGCAATGGGCATGCCTTTAACATTTATGTAAAACACTGACTAATATGAAAACACGAGAATGCTTGTGATCTGCCCGCAATGTGTTAAGATGGTATATTAAAGTGAGCCCATCCTGATGGAATGATGTAATTAAAACTGTTTCATAGGAAGAATGAAAATATTCTTAAAGATTTTAGAATAGTTAAGAGAAAAGTTAGGGAGTAAATATTTAAATATTTACCAGTTATCATGTGAAAGAGGAATTGGACTTTTATGTGATTAAGGAAGGCAGAATAATGACTATTGCATGAAAGTTATAGTAAAGCACATTTTCGTGCAATAATAAGGACAAACAGGATTGATACAATAGTGAATGACTAATAAATGCTAATAAATTGGAATGATTTATACATAAATTAAGGTTTGACTTCAAATGGCCTGTAGACACTGGGGGATAGGGGAGGCTAGGGGACTGTCTAGGGCTGGGGGGAGAGGGGGGAAATGGACACATATGTAATACCCTTTGTAATAAAAAATTTAAAAATAAAATAAAATAAAATAATAAATAAAAAAAGAAGTAGAATTAGTACTATAATAGTAATAGTAATGAAGTATTGCCCTGGCTGAAAAAAAAAAAGAAAATTCCAGGGCTCTGTCCATTAAATCCTGTCATCATACTTAGTTTTGAAATTTACTTAATGCCAAACGTTTCTTTTCTTTTATTTTTTTTATATATTTTTGTTGATTTCAGAGAGGAAGGGAGAGAGAGAGAGAGAAAGAGAGATAGAAACATCAATGATGAGAGAGAATCATTGGTCGGCCACCTCCTGCACACCCCCTCCTGGGAATTGAGCCCACAACCCGGGCATGTGACCTCCTGGCTCATAGGTTGATGCTCAACCACTGAGCCACACGGGCTGCACTCTAAAGTGATTTGTAAGAAAATCACCGTGTCAGGAAAGGTGAAGACTAGTCCATTGCTCTGTGAGCGTGGGATGCAGGAGGTTCGAACAGAACATTGGTAAAAACATCCACATCATTTCAGCCACCGGCGGTGCCTTCCCGCTCTGGTCCAGATGACCTCACGTCTCCAGTTTTTAGGGGTGTTGTTTTCCTTTCATGTTGGGGTCCTGCCTCAGCAGGTCCAGGGGTTCCCAAAGGTGTGGACGGAGTCGGCGAAGACTATCCACCCTCTTCCTACTGTGGAGTCCTATCCGTCCCAAGAGTGGGGCTTACCTAGGGGAATGGGGGGGGGTTTACCTAAGGGTCCCTGTTCGGGTGCCATATGTTGGGGTCCAGCCCCAGCAGGTCCAGGGGTTCTCAAAGGTATGGACGGAGTCAGACAAAAAGGAATGACACGGAGGCAGCGTTCAGGTGATCATCATAGCCAGGTTCCTCCCAAACGTTTCTTTTAAAAAACATTTTAGCCAAAGAGAAACTCATTATGTCTTCCCAACTTTATTTAGGAAGTTTGATTATTTTGAATATGTGTGTGCTTTGATTGTCATGATTTGTTAATATTTTTAAAAAGGCAGAAAACCAAAAGCTTTTAGATGAAAAGAAACAGTTTGAGAAGATTGTTGAAGAATTAAAAGGAATAGAACAAGAACTAACCGGTCTTCTTCAAACCAGAGAGGTTTGTTTTAAAGGATACATTTTTCTTTCACATATTTTGTTAGTAGAGTACAGGTTACAGAATAGATTATAGTGTAGCCATTATCTTTGTGAAAGGTTTCTTCACAAGATTTCTTTTTAAAGTATGTGTTCCTGCTACATTAAATATACTAATGACTGATTTAAAGCACATCTAGAAAACCTTCAAGGTATATATAATGTGGAAGAGAAAGGTCAATATTTAAGATATCAATAGTATGTACACAATGCCATGGTTGTAACAATTACATTTCTTGATACCTTGAGTATTTCTTAATCAATACATTTAAAAGTTAGCCTTTATTAAGTTCTTAGCTTACAGTAGTTTTTATAGTGCTCATGTTATAATTTTAGAATGTCATTTATTTGAAAAAGTATGTTTCCAGTCCATAACAGCATTATAACTATCTTTTTATAATTATAACAGCTTAGTATTTAAGATTCTGATTTTATTAATTAATGTTTCTTCTTAATATTATAGCATTTTATTTAATACTAGAGGCCCAGTGCACAAAAATTTGTGCAGTCAGGGGGAAGAGGGGGTCCCTCAGCCCGCCCTGTGCCCTCTCGCAGTTTGGGACCCCTCGGGAGATAACGACCTGCTGGCTTAGACCTGCTCCCGGATGGCAGAGGGCAGGCCCAATCCCTAGGTGCAGCCCCTGGTCGGGCTCAGAGCAGGGCCGATTGGGGAGTTGGGGCGCCGCCCCCTGTCATGCACAGAATAGGGCGGATTGGGAGGTTGCGATGCCACCCTCAGTCACGCTCAGGGTAGGGCCGATTGGAGGGTTGGGGCACCGCCCCCTGTCACACTCAAGGCAGGGTCGATGGGGAGGTTGCAGCGCTACCCCCTGTCACGCACAGAGCAGGGCCCATCAGGGGGTTGGGGAGCTCCCCCCAATTAGGCACAGAGCAGGGCTGATCAGGGGGTTGGGGCGCCTTCCCCTGTAACGAACAGAGCAGGGCCGATACGGAGTGGTGGCCCCGCCCCCTGTCACACACAGAGCCGCAGGGCGATCAGGGGGTTTGGGCGCTGCCCCCTGTCACGCTGATCCTGGTGCTGGGAGGCATATTACCCTTTTACTATATAGGATAGAGGCCTGGTGCATGAGTGGGGCTGGCTGGTTTGCCCTGAAAGGTGTCCTGGATCAGGGTGGGGGTCCCCACTGGGGTGCCTGGTCAGTCTGGGTGAGGGGCTGAGGGCTGTTTTCAGGCTGGGACTGAAGCTCCCTACTGCTCCTTTTTTGCTTTTTCTTTTTTTATTCTGGGCCACCTTTAGCTCTGAGGCTCCAGTTCTTAGGCCTCCGCTTCTGAAAACAGGTATCTGGTTTGTTTCGGTTCTATAATCGAAACTCTGTATCAGCTCCAGCTCTGAGATCCCAGCTCGCTGAAAGCAGGTTTCTCAGGTTTTGTTTAGCTTCTATATGTTACAATGTTTCAAACTGCAGGCTCAGAGGCCGGCAAGGCAGGCGGGGAACGTTGGAGTCCTCAGTCACTGAAGCAAGCAAGCCTCATGTTCAGTTTAAGCTGCCTGGCTGCTGGCCGCCATCTTGGCTGGCAGTTAATTTGCATATTGCCCTGATTAGCCAATGGGAAGGGTAGCAGTAGTACGCCAATTACCATGTTTCTCTTTTATTAGGATTATTTATTTATTTTTTAAAATATTTTTTATTGATATCCTAGAGGAAGGGAGAGGGAGAGAGAGATAGAAACATCAGTGATGAGAGGGAATCATTGATTGGCTGCCTCCCACATGCCACCCACTGGTGACTGAGCCAACAACCCTGGCATGTGCCCGTGACCGGAATCGAACCCTGACTTCCTGGTTCTTAGATCGACGCTCAACCACTGAGCCATGCCAGCGGGGCTATAGCATTTTAATTGAAATTATTTGGTAGAGTAAAAGTGACAAAAATTTTTTAAAATGTGTAAATACAATTTTACTGATTGAGCTTCAGAATATCAAGATGAAATTATTTATATTACATTTGTCATTGCTCATTGTTTTAAATTATAGTAGTTATGGCACTGAATCTACTTAAATTTTAAAAATTTGATATATTCTTACCAAATTTTTGCCAAATAAATGACTTACTTGCATAGAGTGACCAAGTTTTTTAAATGAGAAAATTGTAAAAACATTTGTTATGGTTATACACATTTATTTTTCAGAAAAAAGTACATGATTTGGAAATTCAATTGACTACGATTGCTGCAAGTGAACAACAGTATTCAGAACAGGTTAAAGAACTGAAAACTGAGCTTGAAAATGAGAAGTATGTTTTCTGTCTATCTATGAAATAGCTTATGTATTCAATTACTAAGTTCTCTAGTATTTAATAATAAGTGAATTATGTTCAATATTTATTTGAATAAGCTTAAAGTTGTATTTTATCCCTAAAGATAAAAATAATTTAACTTTATTGCTAAGGGAAGTACATATCATTTATATAAAGAGTTCATCACAAAGTTAAGAACTGCTTAAGATCAATATATTCCTTTTCTTAGAGATAGTTGGTTTCTTAGGAAAAAACCATTCATTGCAGTTCTAACTAGTTATTTTGATTGATTTGCTAAATTATTTCATAGGTTTGAATTGATGAAATGCCAGTGACAAAATACAAATTCATTTCTTACATTATCCAATGATTTACCTACTCAGTAAGTTTAATTTTGAGAAAAAGTGAGAGGAAAATATTATTGTGTTATTATTTATAGAGAAGTAAACTCAAGTAGCCAATCTAGTGGTGAGCATGATTTTTTTCTTTTTGGTTGCCTCTCAGCTCTTCATAAAAATGAGAAGTAAACAGTTTATTCAGGATCTTGTTTCTTTCCTTTCAGCTCTCATTTCCTCCTTCTGATATATTTTCAACAGTACTTTTTTAGGGGTTCTGGGTGAAGTTTATTAACCAAAATCCCTTTTAATAAATAGGCTGATTACTTATTTATACTTTGGTATAAATTTGTTATCTTAAGTTTATTTGCTTTTTCAACCTTTCATTTTTTAATGAAAACTTTTATCTATTTTTTGATGAATTTCCATTAAAGTAGTAGGAGATAATAGGTGCTCCTGAAATCATTCCTAGAGCCACACATTCCCCTTCATTTAAAACTGATCCTTGCTGCAACCAATAACAGCAGTAATCTCTCTTCCAGTGTAGAGCATATGAGGCCTAGTATAAGAGCAGTTTAAATATCTGCACAAAGGTTAAACCTAGTTTCTTTATTTTTGTGGAAAAGTAATGGGGGGTAATGTGGGGAGTATGCAAAGAAATATATGACATCATGAAAAACTTATAGAAAAATTTCAAACATGTACAAAGTAGAGATGTAATAAACCAGCATGTACCTATCACCCAGCTTCAGAAGTTAAGTAGTGGCCAACCTTACTTAATTTATAACCTTAGGTTATAATCCCTGCTTTCCTCTAAGGTTATTATGAAGTAAATTTCACATCATATAATTTCATACTTAAATATGTTGATATGACATATTTTTTAAAAATAGGCTTAAGAATACTGAACTAACTGCAAGCTGCAACAAGCTTTCATTGGAGAACAAAGAACTAGCACAAGAAACAAGTAAAATGGCCTTAGAACTTAATAAACAGCAAGAAGATAATAATGTGAGTTGAAAAAGAAAGAACCAATGACTTAATTTTCTTACCTGTAAAATTAGGGCGTTAGAATAATGACATCTAAAGATCCTTTCAGCTTTAAAAGTCTAATTATCTTAGAGCTGATACTTTGTTTTAGAAGAAAAGTATACATACTGATCTTACATGGTGATAATGAGCAACAGAATATAGAGGTTACCCAATGATAAAGTTAATTTTAAGCATCAAGATTTGTATAAAGTATTCAACAAGTATTTATTAAGTAAATCATATGAGACACTATGGAGGATATGGTGACGAATTAGAGGTCATCCTCTTTAAAAGCTTATAACTCAACAGAAAAAAAACTGCCCAAATAGCTTAAATAAAATAGTATATGTCTTGTTTTGGGGACAAAGTGTTATCCGCATCCACAGGATCACTTCTGCTTTGGTGGAAGAGAAGGTTTCAGTGAGACTGTAGCATTGATTTTAGCCTAAAAGATGAATAATTATGAGTTCAGTAGGTAACAGTGAGTGGGAACACATTCCTAAAAGCCACAGCAGTATAAATAAAGCATATGTCTCAAATTATCATTGGGAAACAGTAAATAAGACTTGTTTTGTTAGCTGCTGAGTAGAGATTGTTAAGGAAATGAAGTCTGGAAAAATAGTGTGGAACTATGCAAATTAGGCCATTCTCTTGCTATATTTATATTTATAACTAAATGAATTTTATGCTGACAGATAAAGGTCTTAAATATTAGTTTCAATTTTATTTTTGTTGCAACAGGGTAATTAATATAAACAATATTGAATATTTCTTTAGAATATCAAAAAGCAAGAAGAAAGAACATTGAAACAAATAGAAAATCTGAAAGAAACAGAAACACAATTAAGGCAAGACTAATGAGTTGGCGGCCTCTTTTGTCTAGCAAAGATTTTAGTATTCTTTTCTATTTATTATAGTTAACTTAGATTAAACTTATGTTGAATATAATATAAAGTAAAAATTAGACTTAAAATTACTGCTTTGGAATTCTGCTTAAAAATAAAGTTGTAATAATGTTTATTTTATACTCAGTGTTGAAATAGTGAAATTAGACACATTAATTTTAAAGCATCATAGCTTTCTAATATTTATTTTTTATTAACTAAGAAGATATACTAATCATGTCAAAATTTAGAAGAGAAATAAAAAATATTATTTTAAGCATTAGCCATGTTTCTAGGCATTTTCACAATCATCTATTGTAATGCCTATATACCATTTAATCAAGTGGATATGACATTTTCTACTTTTCGTCCTTTATATTTTTGGATTTTTATATTTTGCAGGTTTTCACTATCATAAATAATACTGTAGTAAACATCTTAGCACATACAGATCTTTTTCTTATTTTGAATTTGATAGGATAAATTTCAAGTAAGTAGAATTATATTGAGTCAGAGGAATAATTATTTCAATGAAGAAATTGAGCAAAAAGGACATATCTGTTGTAAACCAGAAAATTTAGAAGAGAAATACAAAGTATTTAATATTTTGTCAAAAGGACAAAGGAACACATGGGGGAAGAAAACTATCTTTCTTGCCTTTGTCTCTACTATACAGTTTCTCTCCCCAGAGGTATCACTCTTACCTGTGTATGTTTCTAGAGATACTCTGTTACATATATAAGGGTAAATGTGTATGCAGACTTCTCAGTCATGTAGTTTTTCATTAAAATCACTTGTATTTATGTATCTAATTTATTTTAATAAAATTATGACTATGTATCAGGATAATGACTGATTTATGACTAAGAAAATAGTAAAGTGATATCTTGACTTAAATTAGGAACAAGCATTTCTTTCCAGGAGTTTTTTAAATAGAAAAATAAGATACTTAATTTCAAAATAAATGTGTAATTTAAATATGAGAGTGAATTGTGCCTATTTAGTGTTAAGGCATGAAAAACTACCCAACAAAATGAAAATATAAACCAATAAAGTTTAATAGTTAATCATTTTAGAAATTCAGAAAGGGAATAAAATGAAAATATAAGTTTTATCTCAATGTCACTCTTCTATTTCCTTTAAGGAATGAACTGGAATCTGTGAGAGAAGAACTAAAGCAGAAAGGAGATGAAGTTAAATGTAAATTGGACAAGAGTGAGGAAAATGTATGTTATATTTTATAATAAATCATATCACAAAATTTCTAATCATAAAAGCAATACCACATATCTAAAAAAAATGGTGACATATACTGTTGAATAAGTAACTAGTTAACTAGGGTCTTTTATAGGCTGTTGAATTTTAAAATATAAGGCAGAGTTTGGTTATTTTGCATAGTTTATATCTAGAAGGAAGTAGTATAATTCTAAATTTCTTTTACAAATGCTCAATATTTAATGTTGCTTTACATTTTTAGGCTAAATAAAATGGCTTACGCTTTAGTAATATAGAATACTAGAGGCCCGGTGCATGAAATTTGTATAAGGGGCTCGGTCCTCGCAGCCCCCAGCCCCGGCTGCCTAGCAGCCCCGACCCCCCCACCCTGTGGTCGTTCCCGAAGGTCATTCCGCCATCTGGTCTAATTAGCATATTAAGTTCTTTATTATATAGGATACTGATAAATTGAATAATAAGTTCGTTTTGTGCTTTGGTGGATATGATTTAATAAGTTGAGATAGGATCAAGGTCTTTAGAAAAGACCCCGACCAGGGCCAGGGATCCAGCTTGCAACCAAGGTATGTGCCTTTGACTGGAATCCAGCCCAGGACCCTTCAGTCTGCCAGTCTCAGGGCTGATGCTCTATGAACTGAGCAAAACCAGCCAGGGCCTGATAAATATTTTTGTAGAAACAAAAGGTTGAGTTTTATAATTCCATTTCTAAAAGGTACTTATAGAAGAAAATAGTAATTCTGTTAACATTTTAAATCTGATGTCAAATATTATTTTTTAGGTTCGAAGCCTTGAATGCGAAGTTTTAAAAAAAGATAAACAAATGAAGATATTAGAAAACAAGGTAGTATCAAATTGCAAACATGTTTGGAAGTAGAGACTTTGTAACAACATATGTATGACTAGATTCTTTAGGGCCAACCTTGACACTTTTTTTTTTGTTTTATTAATCCTCACCTGAGGATATATTTTTAGGGAGAGAGGAAGAGAGAGAAACATGGATGTGAGAGAAATACATTGGTTGGTTGCCTCCTGCGTGCACCCCAACCGGGAGGAGGGTCCAGGCTGGGAGGTACGTGTCCTTGACAGGAATTGAACCTAGTTCCCTTTGGTTCACAGGCTGATGCTCTCTATCCACTGAGCCAAAACGGCGAGGACCAGCCTTTACACTTTTAACCGCCTTTATATAAATTTCAATTCTCCTTTGAAGGCTTTGAGGAATAATGTAGAATTTTTATTGTAGGTTTCTTTGAAGAGGCTCTGAGTTCAGGATTTTTTTTTGCACAATGCTTTGAAAAGCAAAGTTTCATTAAATTCCTCTTTAGATGTGTCTTCTCTATTGCAAAATTTCATACTCTGTGCAGCTGCATTTGTTGTGGATATGTTTAGAGTGGCAGGATGTTTTTTTTTTAAAAAAATCATTCTTAGACATCTTTCCCGTCTCTCAAGAGAACTGCAGAAAAATTTCTGCTCCATTTATGTGAAGTATTCTTACTGGCTGGCTGCCCATCCCAATTCACTTTTTCCTTCTCTGTACCTCACTACACATGGGTCCTAAACCTGGTTTTCTATAGAGAGAGTAGTCCTCTGGAAAGTATAGTTCACTTTCTATAGTTCTGGCCTCTAATAACACCAATTATTTTTTCCTACCTAGAATTCAGATGATTAAAATCCTTTATTACTCTGCATTAGAGTTATTTTACTTAAAAATGAACTGTGATAGGTAATACGTTTTCAAGGTTTCTGGGCATTCTACCAAAAGTATTTATTTTAATTAGTCCTACATTTTGAGATTATTTATATTTAAAAGGATTGAAAATTTAAGTCACTTTAATTTTCATTAGCCTATTCAGAAAAAAAGGGAGAGTGAGATGGGGCAGTGCGTGTTGTAAGAAAAATATGTAATGGAGAATTTTGTGCTACTGTTGGAGATGAAAATTTTTTTCATTGGAATTTCTACTTCAATGGAAATTAGAACGATTTATGTATTTGTAATGTAGTAACCTTTAGAAATCTATGCTGCTTTTTTAAAAAATATATATTTTATTGATTTTTTTACAGAGAGGAAGGGAGAGAGACAGAGAGTTAGAAACATCGATGAGAGAGAAACGTTGATCAGCTGCCCCCCGCACATCTCCCACTGGGGATGTGCCCGCAACCCAGGTACATGCCCTTGACCGGAATCGAACCTGGGACCCTTCAGTCCGCAGGCTGACGCTCCATCCACTGAGCCAAACCGGTCTCGGCAATCTATGCTGCTTTTATGATACTCCAAATATTTTGGTGGCTAATACCTCTTATTCCAATTCTGCATGTGTACCCAGGTGAAGTAGTCCCTCAAAATGAGATATAAAAATGTGGTTCAGCTGATACTTTTTTAAAACAGGAATTAAAATGTAGTTAGGAGGAGACAGACTATTATATTATTTCCCTCCCCTATAGATAATAAGTATAAGAGATCTCAAAAATGAAAATGGAATTGTTTTTAAAGTAGTTAAATTCAAATGTTCTTTAAGTATATTAAGAATTTTTAAAAATTTCAAATTTGTATTGAGATAATTGTTAGTAAAATTTGTACCCATTTACATGATTTTAGACATTAATGGAATTATTTAACAATATGATTTTTGAAGTGACTTCTATATTAATTTATGTAGTATTTTTATTAGTTTAGAATTACTTATGTTGACTAGAATATTGAATAAAATAATTATAATTTCTCATTTTCTTTTTTTAGTGTAACAATTTAAGGAAACAAGTTGAAATTAAAAGCAAGAATATTGAAGAATTCCAACAGGAGGTATGTATTGATTCTCATTATCAAATTATTTTAAAAGATTTTTTTTACTTCAGTTTTAGAGAATAATGCTTTTCTTTCCCGTAGTAATTTCAATCTAGGTAAGGTGGTAGTGCAAGTTTGAATCATTTTGGTACTAAACGTAATTGTTTATTTTTAACTTTTAACAGAATAAGGCCTTAAAAAAAAGGGGTACAGCAGAGACGAAGCAACTGAATGTTTATGAGATAAAGGTATTTGGAATAATTTTTGTTTTTAAAATAGTAGTAAATAGATGAGAGTATAAGAATTTTATTCCTTGTGGTACTTATCTTTCTCTGACTGGCTTATTTCACTTAGCATAATTCTCTCCAGGTCCATCCATGTTGTTGAATAGGGTATGATTTCCTTCTTTTTTATGGCCACATAGTAAATATACCACAGCTTTTTTAATCCACTCATCTACTGGTGGACACTAAAGCTTCTTCCGGGAAGGTGAGGGTGGGAGAGTGGGAGGGGAGTGATTAACCAGAGAGCTTATATGCATATATGCATAACCCATGGACACAGACAATAGAATGAAGGCTCGGGTGGGATGGGTATGGGGTGGAGGGGATCAATAGGAAAAAAACACACACACAGAAATAAACAAAGGGACATCTGTAATACTTTCAACCATAAAGATAAATTAAAAAAAATTATTTTCTTGTAGCAGTTTTCAAACATCATCTGAGATTGTGGGAATTGTTCCTTTTAATTATAAGAGTGCTCATCTGTGATTTATATGTGTTAAAATCATCTGAGCAACTTAAAAATATATGTTGTGGGTATGTATATGTATGTATTCATACTCCTTACCCATACATTAAAAATTAAGGTTGAGCAGGTTTGGGGTGGAGTCTTGGAATCTACATTTTTTAAAAGCTCCATGTAATACTCTTTGTAATACTTTAAACAGTAAAATTAAAAAAAATTAAAGCTCCATATATGGTTATCTTGCTGTATAAGGGCTTTGATAACCACTGACTTTGTAGGAAACAAATTAAAATCCTGGAATGTAAACTCATGATGTCAGGGGTTTTTTTTTGTTTATTTTCTTAGTCCCTATTCCTTGAGATATAATTTACATGTAATAAAATGCATAATTTTAAGTATACAGTTTGATGAGCTTTAACAAATGTTTTTACAAACGTAAGAACAATCAAGATACAGGATTATTTCCATTATCCCAGAAAGTTCCTTCATATCCTTTTATAGTTTAAACCCTACTCCCCAGAGGCTACCAATATTCTGCTTTTTCTCTCTATAAAGTAGCATGTCTATTCTAAAACTTCATTTAAATGGAAACATGCCAAATATTCTCTTGTTATAAGGGTTTATTTTGCTCAACCTGTTCTGAGATTCACCCATGCTTCTGTAGGTATCAATACGTCTTTTATTATTTCGGAGTCACATTTCACTGTATGAATATAACAGATTTGTTTATCTAGTTTCCTGTTAGTGGACATTTGAATTGTTTTCAATTTTTAATCATTATGAGTAAAGTTTCTATGAACATTCTTGTACAAGACTTTCACTGGACATTATTTTTTTAATTCTCACCTGAGGATATATTTTCCATTGATTTTTAGAGAGAGTGGGAGGGAGGTGAGAGGTGGGGGAAAGAGAAACATCGCTGTGAGAGAGTTTGGTTGACACCCCCCACACCCCCACCCTATCTTCCCTCCACCGGGATCAAATCTACAACCCAGGTACGTGCCCTTGACCAGGAATTGAACTCAAGACCCTTTGGTCAGCGGGCTGACACTCCAACCACTAAGCTACACTGGCCAGGACTGGACATTTTAAAGTAAATATCTTAGAAAAGAGTTTCTGGGTCATAGAGTAGATGTATGTTTTTTTTATTGATTTTTTTTTTTTTTTTTTTTACAGAGAGTAAGGAGAGGGATAGAGAGATAGAAACATCAATGAGAGGGAAACATTGACCAGCTGCCTCCTGCACACTTCCCTACCGAGTATGTGTTCGCAAGCAAGGTACATGCCCTTGAACAGAATCGAACCTGGGACCCTTCAGTCCGCAGGCCGACGCTCTATCCACAGAGCCAAACCGGTTAGGGCAGTAGATGTATATTTAGTTTGTAAAGAAACAACCAAATCATTTTCCAAAGCGATTTTACACTCCTCATAGCAATGTATGAGAGGTCTAGTTAGTCCATATCCTACTCACATTTGGTGTTGACAGCCTTTTCAGTTTCAGCCACTCTTGTGGGCAGAACCTAGCTTCACGTTTAGTCATACAATGTCCTACACTTAGTTTCCTGCTCTATTATTGTCATTTTGAAATTTTAAATAATTTATGAACTAGATGTTCCCCCTTTTCATTTTGCATCAAGCTCTGCAAATTATATAGCTGGTCCTGCTTATGGGTATAGTAGTATCCCATTGTGGTTTCATTTTTCATTTGTTATAATAGTGTTGAACATTTTTTCATAAACTAGTTATTTGTATATTTCCTTTATAAAGTACTCAAGTATTTTGTCCTCTTTATTTTTATTTTTTAAAATATGTTTTATTGATTTTTTTACAGAGAGGAAGGGAGAGGGATAGAGAGGTAGAAACATGGATGAGAAACATCGATCAGCTGCCTCCTGCACACCCCCTACTGGGGATGTGCCCGCAGCCAAGGTACATGCCCTTGACCGGAATCAAACCTGGGACCCTTCAGTCCACAGGCTGATGCTCTGTCCACTGAGCCAAACCAGTTAGGGCTGTCCTCTTTATTTTTTATTGGGGTAAAATACCCATAACATAAAATTTACCATTTTAACCTTTAAAAAAAAACTATACAGTTCATTTACATTATTGTGTAACCAATCCCCAAGACTCTCTTTATTTCGTAAAAATGGAAATTCTATACCCATTAAACATTAAGCTCCCCATTTCCTCCTCCTCACAGTCCCTGGCAACCACCATTCTCTGACTTACGACTACTCTATTTACTTCATATAAGTAGAAAAATATAGTATTTGTCTTTTTGTGATAGCTTGTTCATTTCTGATAAAAAGGCAGAATTTTGATAGAGATTGCATTGAAATCAGGACACTATTGAGAAAGTGAAAAGACAACCCACAGAATGGAAGAAATATTTGCAAGTCATCCTATATAATAAAAAGCTAATATGCAAATCGACCAAATGGTTGAATGACCAGTCACTGTGATGTGCACTGACCACCAGGGAGCAGACACTTAACGCAGGAGCTGCCCCCTGGTGGTCAGTGCAGTCCCACAGGGGGAGCACTGCTCAGCCAGAAGCCAGTCTCACGGCTGGTGAGCTCAGCTGGGGTGGCAGGAGCCTCTCCTGCCTCCATGGCAGTGCTAAGGACCTCTTCAGGGGATGTCCGCTTGCCTAACGTGGCAGGCAGACATCCCCCAAGGGGTCCCAGACTGCGAGAGGGTTGGAGGCCGGGCTGAGACACCCCCACCTCCAGTGCACAAATGTCATGCACTGGGCCTCTAGTATATTTGATAATGATGCAACATCTAGCACATAAAAAGCACACTTCCAATTCAACAGCAAAAGCCAGTCACAGAAGGACAGATAGTGCATGTTTCCTCTTACATGAGGTACCTAAAACAGTCAGACTCACAGAAGCAAAGGTTAAAAATGGTGATTACCAGGAGTTGGGGGGAGGGAAAAAGGAAGTTATTCCTCAATTTGTATAAGGTTTCAGTTATGCAAGATAAATTAGTTCTAGAGCTCTACTGTATAGCATAGTGCCTATAGTCAACAATAATGCATTGTGCACTTAAAAATTTATTAAGCCCTGACCAGGTTACTCAGTTGGTTGAAACATGTCCTGTATATTTTTGGTTTGATTCCCAGTCAGGGCACATATCTAAGTTGTGGATTTGATCCCCATTTAGGGCATGCATGGGAAGCAACTTACCGATGTTTCTCTCTCACATTGCTGTTCCTCTTTCACTCTGTTACTTCCTTTCTCTCTAAAAAATCAATGAAAATATCTTCGAGTGAGGATTAAAAATAAAAAAAATACATTTTACCAAATGTAAAAAGGAAAATGATCCAACTATAATTTCCATGAATAAGTAATCTTGAAAACATTCATAAAACCACAAAATGAACACAATATTGTCAAGAAATCCACAGCATTTACTAATGTTCATGCTATTTTTTTTTACACAAAGGTCAAGAAATTAGAGTTAGAACTAGAAGGTGCCAAACAAAAATTTAAAGAAATGTCTGACAGCTATAAAAAAGAAATTGAGGACAAAAAGATATCAGAAGAAAATCTTTTGGGAGAGGTAGGAAGATTAAGTATGCGTGAGAATTTGTTATACTAAAACTCTGTATTTGTTTATTAAGTAGCATTTTAAGAGAAAAGTAATTAATTTTTAAATTATGACTTTTAAAAGGTATAATAAATTTACACTAGGGACAGTTTCTTATAGAAGCTAAAAGTATCCTTGTTATTCTGTTTGAGTATTGAGTAGTTTATAATTATTTTGAAAAGATTAAATGATCATTAAAATATTACACTGTCATTTCACTTGATAGAAATAAACCAAAACAGTAATGCATTTTTTTACTTGGCTTTCCTAAATTTCTGGTGTTTGATTTCTGCATTTTATATATTAACATATGGTCTCTGCATTTGTATAATAGCATATGGTCTCTAAATTTAAGTTAAATTTGGTTTTTGTTTTTAATTTTAATAAACACTTAATTGATTTGATAGGCTGAGAAAGCCAAAGTAACAGCTGATGAAGCAGTACGATTACAAAAAGAAATTGATATACGATGTCAACATAAAATAGCTGAAATGGTTGCGCTTATGGAAAAACATAAGGTAATTTTTTTCTTTTTGTGTAATGAAAATTATATATTGGAGCCATATTTATGCATAAAATGGTAAAATTAATATAGCATTCTGATTTATCAGAAAAATTATTGGTAATTTTCTCTGATAATTAAGGGATATTTATAGTTATAGATGTAATTATAGATAATTATAACTGGAATGCCCTTGATCTCCCATTTCTCTGGTTTTAAATCTTAACCACACAAAGCTTAGCTTGAGCGTCACTTTGAGAAAATCTCTTATGATGGATGGAAGTGGTCATTCTTTATCTGAATTTTCCTAGTATTCTCTTACCGGTATAGCACTTCCCATCCAGGATATGTGTTTTAACATTTGTATCCTTTATGTGTGTCTAACATACATGAGGCTAAATGAACTTTTATCAGAGGAATAAATAGATGAAAAGCTTAATGTTTGTTGTGTTTGTGTGTTCTATTTTTTACTGTTGTTTAAGTAATCATTCTGTTAGCGAATTAAGCCTTATTCTCTTCAGGATTTGGAGAGTAGATGAGCTATATCGACCTATTCATCTTTAAAAATTGTTGCTGGCATATAACATTACTATGAGCTAACCAGTGAGGATTAAAAAAAACTTTAAGTAAGTTTGTGAGCTCATAGGTTTAAACATATTTGGTATATCTCAGTCCAATGCAGTTTTTATATTTGTCTCATCTTTGGCTAGTGGGGACCTCTTCACACTGGTGGCAAGTCCTTTAGACTTGACTTTATTAATTATTATTATTATTATTTTTAAATGTTATATTGATTTTTAACAGAGAGGAAGGGAGAGGGATAGAGAGGTAGAAACATCGATGAGAGAGAAACATCAATCAGCTGCCTCCTGCACACTCCCCACTGGGGATGTGCCCACAACTAAGGTACATGCCCTTGACTGGAATTGAACTTGGGACCCTTGAGTCCGCAGGCCGATGCTCTATCCACTGAGCCAAACCGCTTAGGGCTTGACTTGACTTTAATAGTCCTTGATAGCTTTCCTGCTTTTTCATATGACAGCGTTCAAGACTCATGTATTTCCTACCTCAAATCTGGAATCAGCCACTTTTCTAAGAGGTCCTGTTTTTTAAATTAAAAAATTCAGTGTTTCCAATTAAAAAGAATAATTTCTTGCTCATGTGTTATTTCCAAGACAGTTATCAAGGTTTCATTATTTATATAATTGAAAAATTTCAAAAATATGCTTAAATATATACATCACTTAACTCATAGTCATTATTTTTTTTAAATTTTAAATGCACAAGGATACCAGTCATATTAAAGCATAATCTATTTGGGTTCTAATATATTGGTATTTAAAATGTTTTTTCTGTTTTATGTAGCACCAATATGATAAAATTGTTGAAGAAAGAGACTCAGAATTAGGACTTTATAAGAGCAGAGAACAAGAACAATCATCAGTGAAAGCATCTTTGGTGAGATACAGAATAAATAGCCATAAAAGCCACTTTTCATGTCAACATGGCTGCTGGTAAAGAATAATATTAAATAAAGCCATAATTTTTTGTTGTTGCCTCCTGCAAGCTCCCTGACCAGGGCCAGAGCCTGCAACCGAAGTACCTGCCCTGGACCAGAATCGAACCTGGGATCCTTCAGTGAGAGGGCTAATGCTCTATCCATTGAGCCAAATCAGCAAGGGCTTGACATAATTTTTGAGTTGTAGAATAAAAAAAGTCTTAGATCAGAAAGGAATCTTATAGTTAAATAGGCTTCCAATTTATTTTTTGAAATGGTGGAATGAACTCTTTTTCCCCCCAAATGAATGCTTATAAACTAGGAGAGGATGAGGAGGAGAGATATATAGTGTTAATATTTCTTTAGAATCCTATATAATAAAAGCCTAATATCCAAATTGACCAAACAGCGGAGTGACTGGTCGGCGGGGGGTGGGGCCAGTGAGTGGGTGGCACCTGGCCAGCCAAGGCAGATACCAGCAGGGAGAGGGAGGGGACGGTGGTGGCCCTCTGGTTGCCTCCCACAGAGGGATGCCACGGGGTGGAGGGCCAGACGCTTGCCAGCCAGCACTGGCCCCCGATGGGCCCACCAGTCGCCTCCCGCAGAGGGAGGCCAGACTGTGACTTAACCATCAGTTTGACATCCCCCAAGGGCTCCTGGATTGTGAGAGGGCACAAGCTGGGCTGAGGGACCCCCCAAGTGCACGAATTTTTGTGCACTGGTCCTCTAGTAAACTGTAAAATATTTGTATAAATGAAATCTAGGTATGTTCAAGTAGCAGCCTTCATATTAGTAGGCTTTTAAAGTGTATATATATATATATA